TTATCTTTGCATCTGCTTTTTCAGCTCTCCCAGTGACAGTGACACACTATCCTTTAATAAAATTAATTATCTTTCTGCTTAATTTAGCCAGAGTAGATTTGAATTCTGATTGATGAAAAACTTTGATAACATGCTGTTGGTATAGCAAGCACTGTTTGTGTGTCTATATAGTGGCAAATATAACGATGTCTTGCTTTCTAAAATTGCTACTTAGAAGTTTTTAAATAGGTACCTGTCTTGGTGGGTCTGTATGAAAACTGGTTGGTTTCCTCCCTGAGCTAATTATGATATGAGGAAGTTGTGAATTAACATCTCTAAGCCAGGATGTTGCTACAGTTACTCATGGTGCTACTTCAAAGATGCTTTTGCTCCCCTGTAAGGTTTGGCATTTTGTCATTGGTTTTGCCGTTATTGTAAAAGCTCCTAGCAGCCTTGAAACCAAAAGCCAAGAAGCACTACATAGTAAAAAACTTCCATTTTAAACTGAGAAAAAGGAAGATATCATCTACTCTGATCTTCTAGGCCATCAGAATGGTAAATACAGTTGCCAGACATAAAGAAGAGAAATACCTAGTGTCTGCTTTTCTTGAGCCATCACCTAAATGCAAAGAACACATATTTAAATAAACTATTATAATATAGCAGTAACAAAATAGAGTCCATATAACAAGAGGGAGAAAAGAAGCAGTGACTAAAACAAGTGAAATTGGGTGCCCAAGGTGTATGGAAATTGTTAGGAGTTTTGATAGTAGGCATTATGTTTTTAAAGATTAGGAAATGGCATGATTATGTAATTATTGGGTGGCAGAATAAAGTTAATTTTTTTTTCCGTTATACCATAATTGTGTCTCAATTGTTGGAATATCTCTAATTTAGCTTTAAGACAAAATATTGGTACTTCTTTTCGTAGAAATACTATGAATTAGATATTCTGCAAAACACCTAGAAATGTTGGTTAAAATATATTTAAAACTTTTTTTTCTTTTTTGTTTTTAACTTTTACTAACATGCATTATACTTAAAAAAAAATTTTTTTTTTTAAGCAGAGATTTAAGCTAGTAAGAAAGCAAATGAAATCTTCAGACCAAAAACAGTCAGAAAGTATTTACTGAGAGATAAACAGGTGATAAAACCTGGGCTTCCCTTAGCATCTGTTGATACTTACTGGCCCAGAGCTTTAGTTTTAATGGGCAGTGCTTAGTGGCAGGATGCAAGTTAAACTAGGAAAAACAAGCTTTCCCAGAGAAAAAGAAACATGGCAGTTTTAGCCATGGCCCTTGGTTGGTCTTCTCTGATAATTTTAAGCACAAATCCTCTTTGATGCCAGAGTAGAGCTAAAATTCACATTATCTGTTGTGTTGAAACAACAGTTGAACATTTAAAGTGATTCCAGTTTGATAGTCTTTCTAGGCAGATATCTAACACGTTTTTTTCACTCTGTTCTCTCCTTAAGAGCCCATTTAAACATATTCCTTAAAATGCCCAGGAAGTTCCAAGGAAAATAGGCCTATAATTTAAAATCATAAAGCATATAAGTCATCAGTGTGATTTAGCAGAAACAACAAATCACAAAATCAAGCCCTCAAAGACTACAAATATTGGGATTTTCAGATACAGACTATAAAATTGTAATGTTTAATATGCTTAAAGGGAGAAGGAAGATACTGAAAGGATGATGAGGAAATGAAAAATTTGATCAGACAGATTTGAGAAAAGAACCAAAATGAACTTTAAGAAATGAAAACTATAAAAAGCATAGAAATTTGCTAGACAAGTTGAACAGCAACTTAGAAACAGCTTGAGAGAATTGAGGAACTGGAAGAAATATCATAAAAAATTGTTCAGAATACAACTACAGAAACAAGTGAAAAATGGTAAAGAGAGGTTGATATGTGGAATATAGGATGAGAAAGTACGATACATATTTTATTGGAGTTCCAGAAGGAAGTAATAGAGCAGGTAGTAGAGAGGCAATATTTGAAGAGATAATGGCTGAGAATTTTACAGAATTGATGAAAGACCTATTAGATTTCAGGGAGCTCAGTGGATCCCAAGCGCGATAAAGAAAAAAGAACTCCATGCTTTGACTTAATGATTGCAAAACACCATTGACAAAGATTAAACAAACAGAGAAAAAAAGAGATTAAAAATGACAGCTAAACTGATAGCCGATTTCTTAGAAATAGTACAAAACAGAGAGCAGTAAATATCTTTAATGTGCTTGAAAGGGAAGATGTGCCTATTGAGAATTCTGTATATAGCAAGGATGGAGGGTAAAAATGAAAGTATTTTCAAAGAAACCACAGCTTGAGAGAATTTACTAAAAAACTCTGAATGATGTCCTTAGGGCAGAAGGAAAATGATTTCAGAAAGGTCTGAAATACAAGAAAGTGATGATCAAAGAAAATGGTCAACATTTATGTAAATTTAAATAAATATTGATTGATATAAAATGAAAATAATAGTATATATTTTGTATATATGTAGGCACAAAAGGCACAGAATAATAATTGATTTTCATGTACTCGCCAGTAACATTTATGCTTTGGTTTGGAAAATCTGCAATAGATGTGATAAGTTTCCTTAAGTTTCATAATTTTTTTTGAACACCTGATAACAGAGTACATTTCATTGCTTTTATAATTCAAACTTAAAGCAACCTTTTAATGGGATGTTTTATAAGGGGAAAAACAATCTATCTTTGGTCTGGTTATATGGCAGATCATGTTCCCTTTCAGCCCATATCCACATGCTTGGGCACTTTTTGCAATTGTAATAATCAGTGAGTTGTAATCAGTGGGTGGTTAATCCTTTTTCTGGAGTCAGGCTGCCTGGGTTTGAATGCTGACTTCATACTTAATCTCTCTGTGTCTTTAATTGGGTATATTATTTCTGTGTGCCTCTCATAATGGGGTAATCTGTAAAAGGGAAATACTTGTGTGAATGAATTTTTATGAGAAGTAGGTGAGGCCAAGCACGGTGGCTCATGCCTGTAATCCTAGCATTCTGGGAGGCCAAGGCAGGAGAATCGCTTGAGCCCAGGAGTCTGAGGTTGCTGTGAGCTAGGATGATGCCATGGCACTCTAGCCCGGGCAACACAGTGAGACTCTGTCTCAAAAAAAAAAAAAAAAAAAGAATTAGTTCATTAGAAGAGTACAAGGGAAAGGTTGGGTGCAGTGACTCATTCCTGTAATCCCAGCACCTTTGGGAGGCTAAAGTAGGAGAATCACTTGAGGCCAGGAGTTTGAGACCAGCCTGAACAGCCTAGTGAGACACTGTCTCTACAAAAAATAAAAAGAAATTAGCTGGGCATGGTGGCACACACCTATAGTCCTAACTACTTGGAGGCTGGGGCAGGAGGATCACTTGAACCCAGGAGTTCAAGGTTACAGTGAGCTAGGCTGCTCTATTGCACTCCAGCCTAGATGACAGAGCAAGACCCCATTTCTAAAAAGGTAAAATTAAAAAAAATTTTTTTTTGGAGTATAGAGGAATTTCATGGGAAATAATTGCAGGTAGGCCACCCAGAAGCTGAGTCTTAAGTTAACTCCGCGTGGGGGCTCTGTAGTTCTGCCTGCAAAGAGTTTTGCCTTGGTTAGCTATGTTTGGATATTGGTGGTACCTTATAGGCTGATTTTTTTAAACCCTATTATCCAGGGCCAGTGTCAAGAACTCCCTCCAGGTAGGGAGTTTGACAGCTTCCTGATAAATGGTTCAATGTGTGCCATTTATTTTTCTTGAAAGCTGAGTTCCCAGTATCTGCAGGTTATAAGCTTGAGTTAGTTAATTCTCTGCCCTTTGGATCCACCTTCTGGTACCTGCCATCCAGGCAAGTGGCCTACAGCTGAGAAGATAATCAAAAGTAACTTTCTGGAAAGGGGATGAACTTTTTGCAGGGTCATTCATGTACTTGAGAAAGATCAAGCCCTGCCGTTGGGTTGGATGAGGTGAGAGAAGTATATTTGTGCATCCCACTCCTCTCTCCCTTCTTTCTCTCTCCACCTTTTCATATTCTTCTCACTGTGCTCCCCCCCTCAGTTTCTGTTTTTCACTTCTGTGTGTCTGTGGTTAGATAATGCATGTAAAAGATCACTTTAAATGGCAGCATTTTAAATAGTTATGTAGTTATGTTGTGGACATTAGGAATATACACTTTCAGGCCAGGTGTGGTGGCTCACGCCTGTAATCCTAGCACTCTGGGAGGCTGAGGCAGGAGGATTGTTTTGAGCTCAGGAGTTCGAGACCAGCCTGAGCAAGAGCGAGACCCCGTCTCTACTAAAAATAGCAAGAAATTAGCTGGACATCTAAAAATATATAGAAAAAATTAGCCAAGCATGGTGGCGCATGCCTGTAGTCCCAGCTACTCGGGAGGCTGAGGCAGGAGGATTGCTTGAGCCCAGGAGTTTGAGGTTGTTGTGAGCTAGCTGACGCCATGGCATGCTAGCCCAGTCAACAGAGTGAGACTGTGTCTCAAAAAAAAAAAAAAGAACATACACTTTCAGGACAGATGGAAAAGAGCATTCCAGTATAAGGCAGATCACTGCTTTTGACTTGGGATAAAATTTCCAGTGATAAAATCATTCAGACTCAAAGGTCTCTGTCACAGCTTAGATGGCAATAAAAATTATGTACTCTGGAAAACTGCTGTAGATAACTAAAATATTTGCTCTCGATGCGCAGACACACACGTCTCAAAGGTACACGAGCAGCTTGAATAAATTTTATAACGTTTGTAAGTAGGTTGGGGGTAAAGCAGTATTTCTATTTTAATATTATTTTATAGATATATATTTTCCATTATATAGGTAGCTAAAGTTTTATATTTTCAAGTTGATCAGAAACTTTAACATTATTTATTTAATATTACTAAATTAAGTATTTAACATTATTACTGGTTTGTTCCCCCACACTTAAGTAATACAAAAAGCCCTTTTATCTAAATTTGTGATTTTAATTGTCCTGACTTTTAAAATTTACAGATAGATCCTTTGATTATTTAGCAGGTAACATCTAAAGGAACTGGTTTAAATCCTAATGCCAAAGTATGGCAAGAAATTCCTCCTGGAAGTACTGATGCCACCCCAGTAACTCATGGAACTGACAGCTCTTGGCATGAAATAGCAGCCACATCAGGGTGTCATCCTGAGGGTAAGTCTTAAATATTTCTTCAGAAAAATCACATTTTGCTTAAATGTATAGCCAAACTAGTATATAGAACTTTGGTATACATACTTTGATTATTTGATTAAATATATTTGTAATTGTTTAATATGTAGTTCGTGGATAATTCTCATTTATATCCAACATGAATGGATTGTCACTACTTTCAAGTAGTAGCTGTTCAGCATCTAACCCATTTATAATATGATATTTATAAATTAGTTTTCAGGCCGGGTGAGGTGGCTCACACCTGTAATCTTAGCACCCTGGGAGGTTGAGGTGGGAGGATTGCTTGAGCTCAGGAGTTAGAATTCTAGACCAGCCTGAGCAAGAGCGAGACCCTGTATCTAGTAAAAACAGAAAACTTAGTTGGGCGTGGTGGCGAGTGCCTGTACTCCCAGCCACCCGGGAGGCTGAGAGGCAGGAGGAGCACTTAAGCCCAGGAGTTTGAGGTTTCAGTGAGCTATGATGATGATGCCACTGCACTCTACCCAGGGTGACAGAGCAAGACTCTATCTCAAAAAAAAATAAATAAATAAGTAAATCAGTTTTGATCTACCTTGATTGACTCTGCTGTTGACTCACTGATCTTGGGCAAAAGAACATATCTGTGCTTGATTCCTCCATCTGTAAAACAGAAACCATAATAATTACCTATAGCATAGGATTTTCTGAGACTTAAGTAAATAAACTATATGGAACAGTCTGATACAAAGATAATACTATGTAAATTCTAGCTATTGTTAATAATTTTAGCTTATTCAAAATGGTCAAAACTTATTTCCCTTAGGGAGATAACTCTTACTTAAAACCATGTGGACATTTTCCCAACTAGTATAATAAGAATTCCTGAAATCTTATTACAGAAGACATACTGCCCAGGTTTCCTGAAGATAGGATTTAAAGAATTTCTATTTACTTTCAATTTCTTTAATATAGGTAATACAGAGCCATCAGAAGATATGTGTAAGGAGTATGAAGTAATGTATTCTTCATCTTGTGATACCACAAGAAATACTACAGGCATTGAAGAATCAACTGATGGAATGATTTTAGGACCAGAAGATCTGAGTTACCAAATATATGATGTTTCTGGTAAACTTTATGGTTTTATTGTTAAAATGAAACTTCAGTACACTAGTCTCCCCCATATCCCACAGTCTGTTTATCATTGTTCTGATGAACCTATGGCATTGTTTTCTTATTTGACAAGAAGCTTATGTTAATGAAATGTTAGGTGATTGTTATAAATACTGTTTTCAAATACCCATACATGAAATTTGTGATTTAAAAAGATTGTTTACTTAATGAATGTCGTATTAAAGTATAAAATAAGATAATGGGAAAAAAATAGTTAAGAGAGACCTAAATTAAAATCTTTCACAAGGTCCCAAGTATCTTAGTCTATTAGGATCAATGCAAATTCTGTCAATTTTCCTGTCACTTTTGTCAGGATGAAATGTATTTATAAATGTTAAGTTGCAGAGGTTAATTTTAGGGAAACAGCTGTGTTTAAAACATGGGCTCTGCTACAATTCAACATGCAAAATTTTTTTTCAAATTACTTTAATCGGCATGGGTTAGTAGTCACTTGGATTTTAAACTGGACAAAATTTAAAAGCAACTGGCTGGCGTAGTGGCTTATGCCTGTGATCCCAGCACTTTGGGAGGCGGAGGCAGGAGGATTGCTAGAGGCCAGGAGTTTAAGACCAGCCTGAGCAACATAGCAAGACTTCGTCTCTACAAAAAATAGAAAAATTAGCCGGGTGTGGTGGTACACGCCTGTAGTCCTAGCTACTCGGGAGGCTGAGGCAGGAGGATCACTTGAGCCCAGGAATTTGAGGGTGTAGTGAGCTATGATGATGCCACTGCACTCTAGCCCAGGCAACAGAGCAAGACCCCATCTCAAAAAAGAAACTAAAAATGAACCACAAACACTACATTTTTATTTTTCTATTATGTACAGGATCTCTCTGAAAAAGTAATTGTAATACGGAGTAGGTATTTCTATTTCTGCTTTTAAGTAGCTGTGTGACTTCAGGCAAGGTAGATGAGCTTTTGTCCTCAGTTACCTTGTAATATATATTTCGACTAGATTTTGAGATCCGTCAACTTGTAAGGTGATTTCAGAAGTGGTGGGGGTGGTATTTATATATAATTTAAGGTGCTCAGTTCTTCCTACCTGTGGTCATAATATAACTAACCACTGGCTACTTTGGGGTTTTTTTGTTTTTTGTTTTGTTGAGACAGTCTCACCTGTCTGGGTAGAGTGCAGTGGCATCATTGTAGCTCACTGCAACCTCCACCTCCCGGGCAGTAAGCGATCCTTTTGCCTCAGCCTCCTAAGTTTTTGGGACTACAGGCATGCGCCACAATGCCTGGCTGATTTTTTGTTTTTTCTTTTTGGTAGATACAGGATATCACTCTTGCTCAGGCTGGTCTCAAACTCCTGAGCTCAAGCAGTCCTCCCACCTCTGCCTCCCAAAGTGCTAAGATTACAGGTGTGAGCCACTGAGGCTGGCTGCCACTGGCTAGCTACTTTGAACTTAAAGGTGGTTTAAGTGACTTGGCAGCCAGTGGTGTTTTAACAAGTTTTCTGTAAATGACATTGGAAAGTTAAGTGAACTGATTATTTATTTAACTAGCATTTGGGTGAATGAGTTTTATATTAGAATTGCATATATTGTACATAGAAATAGAAAGAATGCTTATCAATTTTTAGTGAAGTTAATCTAATACCACTTTGGTTCTTGAGTAGTAAGACAAGTCAATGGTAAAATCATGGACAAAGTTAATTTAGCTTATATATACAGGTTGAATATCCCTTATCCTAAATGCTTGGAACCAAAAGTGTTTTGGACTTCAGATATTTTCAGATTTGGGACACTCAACCTGTACATCCTATTATCTTTGTATTTAAAGGAAATTTAGCCTATATTATCATTAAAGCTTTTTTTTTTTTTTTTGAGACAGTCTTACTCTATCACTTGGGCTAGAGGTGCTGTGGCATCAGCCTAGATCACAGCAACCTCAAGCTCCTGGGTTTAAGCGATCTTCTTGCCTCAGCCTCCCGAGTAGCTGGGACTACAGGCGTGCCCCACCATGCCTGGCTAATTTTTTCTATTTTTAGTAGAGACAGGGACTCACTCTTGCTCAGGCTGGTCTCCAGCTCCTGAACTCAAGCAATCCTCCCGCCTTGGCCTCCCAGAGTACTAGGATTACAGGTGTGAGCCACCATGCCTGGCCATCACTAAAGCTTTTTAAGAAGAGGACACATGTCCAGGTGCGGTGGCTCACGCCTGTAATCCTAGCACTCTGGGAGGCTGAGGCGGGTGGATTGTTAAAGGTCAGGAGTTCGAGACTAGCCTGAACAAGAGCGAGACTCCCATCTCTACTAAAAAATAGAAAGAAATGATCTGGATGACTAAAAATATATATATAGAGAAAAAATTAGCCGGGCATGGTGGCGCATGCCTGTAGTCCCAGCTACTTGGAAGGCTGAGGCAGAAGGATTGCTTGAGCCCAGGAGTTTGAGGTTGCTATGAGCTAGGCTGATGCCACGGCACTCACTCTAGCCTGGGCAACAGAGTGAGACTCTGTCTCAAAAAAAAAAGAAAGAGAGGACACATTATATGTTTTTTTAGTCTGTAATGTTTTGTGTAAGATTCTAATGAGAGAGTGATGGTTTTCCAGGCTTGAGTCCTGAAAAAAGGCTCAGGTTCTGGGTTTAAACAACAGAAAATATAGAAGGCTGTTAGTTGATCTGATCTTTTGGATGTTTTAATGCTTTAAACATGCTTAAGAGGAGGGTATTGTGTTCTAAAATCAAGGAATGAAGAGAAAAGAGTTAAAAGAGAGAAATTTAAGGAATGTGACTAACCCCAGATTTACTACCAATAAAAGAGATATGGTTGTATAAATATATCTCACCCGGGTTAGCTACTTCCTGTCTTCAAATTTAGATTACTATTACTTTTGTTCCTTGAGTTTTCATTAAAGGAATAAGTAGTTATCACATTTTTAAAATGTGTAGGGCCATGTTTTACAATATGGTAGCCAAGTGCTTTTGGTATTAATGGTGCTTTGTTAATTTGTTGATAATATAACCCTTAAACTAATATGAAATCTATCTGAAGAAAGATAGGATGAAAGAAATTAGACTTTGAACTATCCAAATTTTAAAAATAATAAAAAATAACACTTTTGTGGTGGATTTTATTTTGTGGATGCTTTATGACTACTGAGTACAATAGTAAGGTTCCCCACCACCTATGGTAACTTGGTATTAACTTTTTTCCTTTATTGTTTTCTACCATCAGGAGAAAGCAATTCAGCAATTTCTACAGAAGACCTAAAAGAATGTCTGAAGAAACAATTAGAATTTTGTTTCTCACGGTACATAGTCATTTTTTTATTAATATTTCCTCTTTGTTGAGTTTGTTTAGTAGATGTAAAACACCTGTCAAATACAATGAAGGAATAATGGTTATTTCCTTTTTTTTTTTTTTAAAAAAAAAAAGAGACAGAGTCTCACTCTGTTGCCCGGGCTAGATTACAGGCATGAGCCACTGTGCCTGGCCCAGAATACACTCTTGACTCAAGTTTAATTGATCTTTATTCTAAATATCTCCCATTTCTTCCCTCCTCTTTATTATTTGTCTTTATATTCTAGTATATATAGTATATTTTCATCCTAGGATGAAAGCAAGAGCCTCCTGGCTTTCTTTTCTCTAATCAGTTGTGCCTATGATAAAATTCACTTTCTTTAATAGTTATTTTGAAAACCTTACTTACAAACTGGATCATTTGTGGGTGTACTTGTATCGTCTGAGGGTTGTTTTCTTTTTTTTTTTTTCTGAATGAGTTTTTTCTTTTGATTCTCTGTCATAATTTTTTGCCTTTTTGTATATCTTATAAATTTTGATCGTATGCTATACATTACATATAAAAAGAATCACAGGCTGGGTGCGGTGGCTCACTGCTGTAATCCTAGCACTCTGGGAGGCCAAGGCAGGAGGATCCCTTGAGGCCAGGAGTTTCAGGCCAGCCTGAGCAAGAGCGAGACCCTGTCTTACCAAAAATAGAAAAATATTAGCTGGGCTTGGTAGTGTGCGCCTGTAGTTCAGCTAGCTACTTTGGAGGCTGGAGGCGGGAGGATAGCTACAGCTCAGGAGTTTGAAGTTGCAGTGAGCTATGACGCCACTGTACTTTACCTGGGGTGAGAGAGTAAAACTCTGTCTGAAAAGGAAAAAAAAGCAGCATAGGAGCTTCAGGTGGCATAATTTTTTCCTATATACAGAGTTTGAGCTTTTTTTGGTTAGGCAGATAGAGTGAAATGTTGATTGCTCCAATCCAGTCTGGAATTGACCTGGGTCAGGGCTGAGCAGTCATTTTAATTAGACTCCGTCTACCTCTGACTTAGCTCTCTGTTCGTATACATGGCTCTCTTAGACTTTTGATTTAGAGCTTGGTGATTTTTTATCACCTTAATCCTGAAACACCAAAGAGATTTAGATCTGTTCTTCAGAGGTTTGAGACTAGCTCTTTAGCCTCTTAACCCATACAGCTTCAAAATCTGACTAATGTCTTGTGGGGGAGACTTGTGTTTGTCACAATATTTCTCCTTCCACCGTGACTTAATCAGAAGACCACATAGATTTTACTCTGCCTCTCAGCCTGGCTCCCAATCTCCCATCTTCCTCCTTAGAACTCAGGAAACATGGTATGGGGAAAACAGCCATATGTTGGGAGCCATATGTTGGGAGCATGCCCAGCTATTTTTTTTTAATATATATATGTTTTTTCTTTTTTTTTTTTTGAGACAGACTCTTGCTTTGTTGCCTGGGCTAGAGTGCCGTGGCGTCAGCCTAGCTCACAGCAACCTCAAATTCCTGGGCTCAAGCAATCCTTCTGCCTCAGCCTCCCAAGTAGCTGGGATTACAGGCATGTGCCACCATGCCCGGCTAATTTTTTCTATATATTTTTAGTTGTCCAATTAATTTCTTTCTATTTTTTTTAGTAGAGACGGGGTCTCGCTCTTGCTCAGGCTGGTCTCGAACTCCTGAGCTCAAACAATCCACCCGCCTCGGCCTCCCAGAGTGCTAGGATTACAGGCGTGAGCGACCGTGCCCGGCCATATTTTTTCATTTTTTTATAGAGATAGGATGTTGCTATGTTGCTCAGGCTGGTCCTGAACTCCTGGACTCACGTGATGCTCCCAGCTCAGCTTGCCAAAGTGCTAGGATTATAGGCATGAGTTACTATGCCTGGCCTCCTGCTTCTTTTTTTAATATACTTGAATCTTTTATCTTAATTTTAAATATATGTTTTAAATTACAGAAGTCAAACGTGCTTATCAAAATGCAAACATTTAGAAGTTGAAAATCCTTCATGAGCCAATTTATGGATAAATTATAGTTTTTGTGATTTGCATATATTAACATTAGGAATCAAGTGTTTATAAAATAGAACTACACTATATGTAGTATTTTGGTAACATACTATTCAATATTAAGCCTCTTTCCATATCAGTATTAATTTCATAAAATCTCTCATCCAGAATGTCTGGAATGTCCAAACACCAGTTGTGTTTGGGGATTTAGAAACTGTAAAAGTTGATACTATCTGATCTATATATACTATGTTGGTATCTTTTAAATTGAACCTTTATCTAACATTCCAAAGTTCACTGTATTATTTATGATAGCATAATTTTGTTTTCCTAGACTTAGTGGCAAACGTGAATAAGGTACCTCTTTTTAAGTGCTTTTTAAGAATTGCTTGTTTTATAGGACTATTGCTTTTCTTTATTACTTTCAGAGAAAATTTGTCAAAGGATCTTTACTTGATATCTCAAATGGATAGTGATCAGTTCGTCCCAATTTGGACAGTTGCCAACATGGAAGAAATAAAAAAGCTGACCACAGACCCTGATCTAATTCTTGAAGTGTTGAGATGTATGTAAAAATACCTTTTAGCTTATTTTTAAATTTTTAAAAATTAGATATTATTTTCATTTTTGATTATACAGGAAATTGTTTTTAATTGTCCTCCCCGTCCCTGCTTTTTTGCTGTTTTGTTCCAGTAAGTTATATTTAACTGATTTTGTGTGTGTGCGCACGTACACGGTTTCTATATCAGTTCCATACCTTGATGCCTACATAGCAAGTATAAGCAATTAAATGTCATTTTTCTGGGCTATTAGAAAGCTGTGTATCTTTATCACACCCTTTAAAGCAATTTATTTCAAACTTTTGAACCTAATTAAGAAGTACATTTTACATCACAGCCCAATGCACACAGTATACCTATATACAACTGAAATGTCAGTTATGTAGTTAACACTAAATATTTGTAATGAATTTGTTTCTTTTGTTCTAAACTGATTTTATAACCTGTAGTTTGACAAACACTCCTCTAAAGTTTGGTAAAGAATTTATGTTTCTTGATTGAGATGCTAAGAATTTTTAGTGTAGTTTATGTCTTGTATCAGCATTTCTTATGGACTTCTCTGAAGTGTTTTTTTTTTAACTACTCAACTGAATAAAGGCAGATCTTCCCTTTTATATGAAACAGGTTGATAATGTGTGAAAGTTAAGTATAGCAAGTCTAGTAATAGACTTGTGTGGAAATAGAGGATTTCCATTTCTAGAAGGTTACTAACATTTATGGAATTTCTAATGGTTTGTACAGACATCATTTCTTAAAATGACACAGTGTTGTCTACATAAAAAATTGGCAGAGACAGAGTTCCCCACTTCTTTAGATTGGAACCTAACACTTATACGCAAGCCTTCACCCTTACCTGCTGCTTCTTTTCTCTCTGTTTACCTTCCCAGAGAGGTGTGGCATATTACCTCCCTGAAGGGACTAGAAATAAAAGTTTTGACTATGTGGTACTATCTTTATTCACTATTTCCTCAAAATCAGCATGTAAAAGATGGCTGCTGGGTCTCTATAGTAGTAAGATTAAATATGTTGAAATCAAGCATAGCTTATAATTCGTGTAGAGTTCTTGATTTAAGGTCTTCTTAGACTTCAGTTTTAAGAAGAATTTCCTCACATATCAGAGTTCATTACATTCCCCAGGATAGTGTTTGGCTAATGCAAGTACCTTGATTTCTGTTAGCACCCATTTGTTACCTCTTAAGGAAGAGTTTGCTGTATACAGGAAATTTGTCTGGTTATATATGTGTTGTATGCTCCCCAAAGGCTTCTTTTCAATCTCAACACAGTGTCGAAGTCACAAAGTGGGTACTCTGAATAATTGTTCAATGAATAACTTTTGTCAGTGTTCTTTATATATAAATCTCAAAAATTTGTTTATCATAACTGTAACTTTGATTCTATAATTTAATTTCTTTAGAATATTAACTTAGCCTCTGCTAATTTATTCATTTGGAAATTAAACAGTTTTTTAATGTCATTATTAGTATCATGAATTGTCACTCTTGTGAGATTCTTTTTTAAATTTCAGCCTCTCCCATGGTACAAGTTGATGAGAAGGGTGAGAAAGTGAGACCAAGTCATAAGCGTTGTATCGTGATTCTTAGAGAGATTCCTGAAACAACACCAATAGAGGTAAATGATTAATCATTGTTAAAGCTAAAGGTTCTTTAAATTGGAGGAGGTACACAAGCAAAGTATAAGGCAGTGCCTTTACATCAATCCCTGTGTCTAGGATAAATATTAATGTGTTTTGTTAATTCTGAAGTACTAGAATGATACAGAGGGAGGAAATGATACTGTTGATTCTGATCCCATAGAATGATAAAGGCTGAAAATAGGGATTTTATTAAGAATTAGTGAATTCATTATATATTTTAAGGGAATTAGAAATATTTGGAGAATATATATGCATTTTTGAAAGTAGAGATCAGTTGGCGACAGCCTAATAATAGTTCTTCAAAAATGTAGTTTTGGGCCGGGCGCGGTGGCTCACGCCTGTAATCCTAGCTCTCTGGGAGGCTGAGGCGGGCGGATTGTTTGAGCTCAGGAGTTCGAGACCAGCCTGAGCAAGAGCGAGACCCCGCCTCTACTAAAATAGAAAGAAATTAATCGGCCAACTAAAAATACATAGAAAAAATTAGCCAGGCGTGGTGGCACATGCCTGTAGTCCCAGCTACTCGGGAGGCTGAGGCAGGAGGATCGCTTGAGCCCAGGAGTTTGAGGTTGCTGTGAGCTAGGCTGACGCCATGGCACTCACTCTAGCCAGGGCAACAGAGTGAGACTCTGTCTCAAAAAAAAAATTAAAAAAAAAAAAAAAAATGTAGTTTTGGACTGGATAGTAATTTTTTTAACTGAACTTGGTGATACTTTACCACTTTCACAAAAGTCATAGTGTAGCTGGTGTCCCACTTATTTATTTCAAGCAGTATTTGAGCCAATACCATTTCATTGCAAGTACGAACATCCTATTTTTAAAGTTCAGTATTTTGAGGGAATTAGAATACAGGCTAGTCTTCACTGTGATGTTGATTTTCCAATCAGCTTCGTATTTGTCTTTTTTTAAATTGATACCTAATGATGTTTTGTTATTTTGTGGCACAATTTAACTTAATAAGATTCTTTAGATATTTGGGAAATGCTGGTTATTAAATTTCTTCTGAGTTTAGGTAATTATCTTTTTCTGAATCCGTGTATCTGTTTGTGTTCCTGTTTACATTTATATCAATTATGGAAAAGATATATTTACACAGAATTCATGTCTGTGACTCTAATATAGACAGAATATCTGGATTAAGTGAGAATGCATGAAAATTCTTACTGCCTAGAAAATGTTAATAAAGGATATAACTAGAACTTTTCTTTTTTAATGGTGGGTCAGGCAGGAAAAGGACTGGGGATATTTTACTATGACCCGGAGGGAAATGCAACTGTTTTGCTGATCATAAAATAAATCATGCCTAAATCATATACAAAATATATGCTATAGCTATGTTTTTGTTTCATAACATAATCTCTTCTCACTAGAAAAAAGGTCAAACAGTGTAAACAATTAACAAATGAAGTGATATAAAGGATCAAAAAAAATGAAGAGAGATGGTCAACCTTACTAGTAAACAAAAGTATTATTATGTATTAGTTAGAGTTAATACAGTTTTTCTCTTTTAGGAAGTGAAAGCTTTGTTCAAAAATGAAAACTGCCCTAAAGTGATAAGCTGTGAGTTTGCACACAATAGCAACTGGTATATCACTTTCCAGTCAGACACAGATGCACAGCAGGTGAGAAGAAAACTTTTCTTCTGATATAAGTCCTGTTGGTAAAATAAATAGTGGTATATTTAAATTGAGAAAATGTGTGTTTACACTAATGTTTATTATGACTAGTGAGCACCGTGGTCACATTTTTGCTTTTGCTCAATTGGTTTCTTTTTTGATTATCTTCCTAAAACTTTTCAGTTTCAATTTAAGAACAATTTGTTTTCTGTCAGTAAAAAATTAATACACAATTTCAAAATTAACCTGGGGATTGCAAATCATGTACTTAATAGTTAAGTGTTTTTAGTACATAGTAGGTCCATAGTAAATTTTGACTTAATGGATTTACTTTTCCTTGTTATCATGTCCTACTTAAAAAGAAATAATATTCGTATCTATGATAGGAACATTTTAAAATAACTCACTAATTTTTATTCTTTTTTAAAAAATTCTTTATCTTAGAAGGTTGCTTGATTGACTCATTTAAAATTTGTTACCTAGTGATATTTTGGGTTTGTTTTGAATGTTATACATTTTGTCTGCAATAATCCCCAATAGCTCTTCTACTATAAATGTGAACTGTAGCTGAGAAGGTCCTAAATTTTTACTTTTTCATTCCTTACCACCTGCACAATAGAATCACTTTCAGAATTTTTGGTTTAGTTTAGAAACCATTACTAATACCAAACCCTGTTAATTGAGTGAAGATGGCTTTAATGAAATGTTTGAATGCTAATGGAAGTTCCTTTTTGCTTTGTTAACAGGCTTTTAAATATTTAAGAGAAGAAGTTAAAACATTTCAGGGCAAGCCAATCATGGTAAGAAATAATTATAAATAGAGAAAAAGGACATTGTGAAACCAGAAAGTTTTTTTGGCTGTTGGAGAATTTAAAAAATACAGATAATATCTTATGAAAACTCATGATGATTTTTTAAATTTTTATTTCTTGTATTATGTGCTACTTACAGAAAATTAGTTAAGGCATTAAAATAATTTGTATACAGCAATTTTTTCCAAAGACATAACTTCAAACAGTACAAAGTTTTAGTTAGATGCTGATTTACAACGTAAAATGATTCCAGATCTCCAAGTGATCAATAGTAATAATTTTTTAGTAACAGAGATGAAAAACATTCTCAGTACTTTCAACCTCATCTCACTTAACTGCATTACCACATTAATACCCAACCATTTGGGGACTTAGGCATTGTCATTGATGATATTTGCTCACTATCTTTTACATGTCTAATCTGTTCTTGGGTCCTATGAAATTTGCCTTCAAAACTCCTTTCCATCATTAGTGTCACTGTTTAGGCTTGAACAGTTGAAGTAGCCTCTTAACTCCTATGCCATCAGCTTCCTCCTCTCACCCTCCTTTAACAGTCCATTTTCCACATTGCTACGAGAGCTTCCATTCTAAAATATAATTCTAAATTTGCACTTATTTTGACCTGGTCCTCTTTCTCTATGTGGTACAATTTTCATCATCATTTGTAAATATAATACACTGTTCTTACTAACTCATCTCTGTTGAGCTCTTGCTGTGTATCTGTTTCTGTTTTAAGCATTTTACCTAATGAGATTTTTCTCTTTTCTCCATTTTACTAGTGAGGATAATAAGGCATAAGAGTAACCTACCCAGTTTCACACACTAGTAACTGGAAGAACCAGGATGAGAGTAACTCAAATTTAGTAAGAGGTTGCATGTCAGGTACTATTCCAAGACTTTGACATATTTAAATCTCGTTATTACTGTGTAGTAGATGATATGAGTTTCTATATTACAGATGAGGCTATTTGCTAGTTGTCATTCTACTTCCTCTGCCTGTGATGTTCTTCTCTCTGTTATCACCTTTTCCTGCTTAAAGGCAATAAAGATAGTTTCCTAAGTTTTCTAATAGCTTTAAAGTTTTAGAGTGTTTCAGACTTAGGTTTTAGATGCATCTGGAATTAATTTGATGTATAGTATAAGACAGGGATCTAATTCCATTTTCTATATATGGAAAGATGGTAGTCTCAACACTTAATTTGTTGCCTGATCTATTCTTCCACAATTTGTGTATAATGTTTTATTTGTGAGATCCGTTTCAGGTTATTTAATGTCTCTGCTTCCCTGAACCAGTATCACTGTTTGAATTACCATAGATTTACGATAGCCTCCTTTTCCTTGAAAATGCAGGTTCTTTTTCCTCCTTGTTCTTATTTTTTAGGATTGTCTTGTCTATTCTTAGACCTGTACTTTTTCATATGAATTTAAATTTTATTTTTATTTTTTTGCCATGTAATGTGCTTTTGGTGAGATCATATGAATTTTAGAATGTTTATCTAGTTCCAACAAACAACCAAAGAAAGTCCACATTGTAATTAATGAAATTGTATTTAATTTATTGGTTAAATTGGGAACAGTTGTCAGTTTTACTCTATGTTATTCATTATTGTGGTAACGTTATTATATATTTCAGTATTAATTCAAGTCTGTGGTGTTTTATAATTACCTCCTTAAAATAGATTTGGTTGTTGTTTGTTCTTGGTATCTTAGTGCTTTTTTTTTTTTTTTTTTTTTTTTTTTTTTAATGTTATTGTCTGCAGCAACCTTGAACTCTTTTCTTTGGGTGAGTCTTTTGGGTTATCAGCCTAGAGAATCATATCATCTGGGCTGGGCGCGGTGGCTTACGCCTGTAATTCTAGCACCCTGGGAGGCTGAGGCGGGGGATTGTTTGAGCTCAGGAGTTCTAGACCAGCCTGAGCAAGAGCAAGACCCCGTCTCTACTAAAATTAGAAACAAATTAATCAGACAACTAAAAACATATAGAAAAAATTAGCTGGGCATGGTGGCGCATGCCTGTAGTCCCAGCTACTCGGGAGGCT